ACCTCCCTAATGCTCTTGTGCCTGAATTTAGCACAAATCCCCACAGCCATGCTCCAAAATCTAGTAGAAACCCTTCCCGGGACATCGGTGGTTATTATAACAGCAAAGGGGGGAATACATATGAAATGGGATGTTCAGAAAGCGCATATGAGTGTTATGGTCAGGTGTCCGCAAACTTTTGGCCATATAGTGTAGATCACCATATTAGTTCTCTTGAGAATATTCACATTGTAGTAGTTAATGGGAACACACAACAATTTACGTTTTCCATTACCGACTTAAAAAAAAAACTAAAAAAAAAAAAACCTGCTTAAATATTTGGATGGAGATACATTTTCTCTCTCAGTGTCTTCCCTCACCTATTGTGGTCTCTTGTAAACTCTTGAGTATCTTATAGTAGGGGTTGGTGGTGAGACAAAAATATCATATCACAATTCTCAAAGATATTTCGACAATACAATACAAACTGCATACAAGCAGTGCAGTAGTGTTCGATTAGAAACAATCTGTTCTATGATACTTCATTTAACATCTACTCTCTCTCTCTCTCTCTCTCTCTCTATATATATATAGAGAATATATATAAAATGTGTATGTATGTATGTAAGGATCTTATTTATGAAAAGAAATAAATATTTAACACTGAAAAGGAGGGAAAAAAAATATAAAAACCTGTAAACATTTCTAACATTTTACAGTTTTAAATATGTGCCCAATTTAATATCAGATAAGCTGCTTCCAGTCAGTTTGCAATTAAATATATAAAGAAATATATAAAAAAAATATTAATGTTTTGTTTTTTTCTAGGTGTTGGGGAAATCATGTAAACCTATCCCAGGTAAGAAAATTATTATTATTATTATTATTATTAGTTTTTTGTTTCTGCTTTTTTTTTTTTTTTTGAGTGGAAGGCTCATTTTCTGCTCCCTTCAAAATAGATAGATAGATAGATAGATATACTTTATTGATCCCATGAGGGAAATTCTTGAATGTTCATGTGTCTATGGCTCTGGTTTCACAGTCATGATCCTCGGTGTGACCATTCTGAGAAAGAAGTATCCCATGGCCAAGTATCTGTGTGTGCTTCTGATCGTCACTGGTGTGGCGCTTTTCCTTTACAAACCCAACAAAGGCTCCACCTCCTCAGATGAACACGTGTTTGGCTTTGGAGAGATGCTGCTGGTTAGTTACTACACATTTTCATCTCGTATTGTCCTGCTAGGTATGTTTACATTCTAATGTTTACGTGTTAACAGTCTAATAACCATTAAATATCTGACCGATATCTTAATTTAAAAACCTTCCTGTAAACACTTACATAAGAGTAAACCGAGTGAGGCAAATGAAATTTCTATCTATTGAAAGAGGTGGTGTGACAACAGCTGCAGACTGAGTTCAGGAACACGGCAGACTCAGGGTGAGATTGTATATGAGCGTTATCGAGAGCTTGTGCCGCTACACGTTAATTAAATGGAAATGAAGAACCCACAGAGAAAATAGCTGTCTGCTCCATAAACTTGGGCTGCTTTCCCGCTTCTTTGATCTGTATATCAACAGGCTCATGTACACACACACACACACACACACACACACTTGCACTCACATGCACTCGGCTCACTGTTAGAGATTGAAAGAGAAAACAACTTGTTAATAAACCCAGCACAGATATCTCTCAGGTGTGCTATGTTAATTTGCTCATTCCCCAACCCTTCCTGCAGACACGCCCCCACCTGTCACAGGTGGATGATCTGTTTTTTATTCACAGTGCTGTTGAATTCTTAAATCAGAAGGCAGTGATGAATTTTCTGTAACAGCTCAGCTCTGACAGTAGCTCTGACTAACCTTAAATGATAGGGTTATATTAATGCACTCTTCTAACACTTTATTGTTTCTATAGTAACAGCTCATTCACAGGGATTTGTATGGCAGATGATCTACATAAACCTAATAATAAATGGATTTTTAAATTTAATTGTTATTTAATATAGAAAAATATATAAATGTTGATGTGGTGAAGCTTTCTGTTGGACGTTTATGTAACATTTATGGAAGGAGTCTCCAGTGTCGGCGCTTTGTAACAGTCAGTGGTTTGAGAGGAGGAGGAGTTTGAGTTTTCATGAGTGATAAGTGATAATAGGAACCAACTTATTTCGCAGACATTTAAATGTAACAAACGTTAACTATAAATGGTTAAAAAATGTGACATGTCGTTCAATAATAAATTAAAAATTGTAAACATTAAAAACTGTTAAATAGAAGAATAATGGCCATGTCAATGTATAAATTTGTGTGCATTCACAATGGAAATCTCCTTCTGTGCATGTACATTTGTGTCACAACTTGGGTATTCGAATACTGAAATCACCATTCACATATTCCTCATGTCCTACAGCCACATGAAGAAAAGCCGTTTCTGACAGTATTTTGATCAGAACGGGAAACACAGACAGTCGCTCTTGACCTGCGGAGCAGGTGTATGACCCATTTTGTGTTCTCTTTCGGATGCAGCTCCTCTCTCTGACTCTGGACGGCCTGACGGGTGTAGCTCAGGATCACATGAGGGGGCGTTACCAGACAGGAGCCAATCACATGATGCTGAACGTGAATCTGTGGTCAACGCTCATGTTGGGTTTGGGTATGTCTTTTTCATACAGCAGATAAACATTTGCATCATGGCTTAGGTATAATTAAGCAGTGTAGAGTTCTAGTCTAATCTACACAGAGCTGCCAACCTGTGTAATGATGTTGGTCTCTGTTTTTATTATAATTCCTCTTTAAATGTAGTTGTTTTATGTGTCTTGTATGTGGATTCACACTTCTAGTGTGTGGGCAGCAGTAAGAAACACGCAAATCATTTTACATCACAATTTCTAGTTGTCCTTTGCACTTTTCTGCTATGTATTTCTTTAAACGAGGGCATCAGCTTCAGCAGGTGATATTTACAAGCAGAAGACAACTTCCATGACATTTGGTAGTCTGTATGGTAGCCTGAAATTCTTGGATCATGTAGCTTAGCAAATGTGTCTCAGACCATCTGCATTGGCTGATCAGATTCAAATCTGTATTGAATGGGTGGGGAGAAATTACATCTGCGTTTTTCTGTGCATTTTCTATATCCAGATATAATCCTGACACATAAAACAGCCAGGTGTAAATGGTGTCACAGTACTGTACAAACATCAGACAAAATCTGATAAAAAACCATTTCAGTTCAACTATTATGTTACAAATAAATTTGTTTCCATCCTTGTCATAAAGATGCTCACTCACATCAACCCTAAAACAGAGATTAGTCTTCCGTCGTGCATCAATTTTTATACATGATATCCAGAAGTGTATCAGTAACACATGGCAAGAAGCAGAAACAGATTATTGTCCCTGCCATTCTCCGCGTGCTCAGCAGGGGGAGCTGGAGCTCCAGTGTAGTTTCAGTAGTGGTGTGTTTTTCAGGAGTCGATGTTAAAGGCAGCTGGTCAGACTCGGCTGAGTCCAAGCAGCATCTGTTCAACTGAGTTCTCGCTTTTAATCTTTCAGCGCAGCACACTCTGTACATAATCTCATGACTCACTCTTGGTGGAACCATGAGACAGAAATTAATTTTCTGCTTAAGGTTTAAATAACAATGTATAAAAAATATGCCAGAGTAGAAAAGAATGTTGCGTTTAATAGTCCAAGAAAGACATGTTTGTCAAATTTAGGGATGCTTAAAGAGTTTCTCTGACTTGCTCTGTTTCCTAGCTGTGTTGTGGACAGGCGAGGTGTGGGAGTTTTTAAGCTTTGCTGATCGCTACCCCAGTGTTATCTACAACATTTTGCTCTTTGGTTTCACCAGCGCTCTGGGACAGGTAAGACGCAAGATTACACACACACCTGCTCCACGTATACCTCTCTCATATTACGTTGTTTCAGTAACAGTACCTTCCTCCCAATCCTCTTTCAGACCTTCATCTTTATGACGGTTGTGTATTTCGGGCCCCTCACCTGCTCCATCGTCACGACAACAAGGAAGTTCTTCACCATCCTGGGCTCTGTGCTGTTGTTTGGGAACGTCATCACGTCCTTGCAGTGGCTTGGAACCATCCTCGTTTTCCTGGGTGAGTGTGCTCACACTGTCTCTCACACTTTCTTACTTTCCCTCTCCTCTCATTCACTCCTCTCCTTCATAGTATTTAATGATTTTTTTGAGAATATTCAAGGAAAACATTCCTCCTGAGCAGCGCACACCGTATTTTTAAGCTTTGGACTGCATCTCTGCACCTCATAGGGCTCACTTATTATTCACAACTTGTGCTTTAGTGGAGGTAGTTTGTCTAGTAAACTGTGCCACTCAAAAATAGAGACAACTAGTACAACCCATTAACAAACTCTTAGTTAAAAAAAAAATGCTGTTAGGATTTTACAGTAACCTCAAACATATTTTGTAACAATTAAAAATGGTCAGTGTTGAATAATCCATTATTTTAGATCCCCAAGAAAATACTAAAATGGCTGAGAAACATCTTTACACATTATGCTCATTTTAAAAAGCAGGACTCTATGAATATACATGAAAATGCTAATTGGAAACTTCCCCGTGTTCTCCTAATATCAGTAAAAACAGCTATGTTACCTTGCTAACTACAGACAAGGGAAAAGCTGGTGTCTCTGTTAAGCTCTTGGGGAACATGTCGGTGGAATGGTTTGCGTTCACTTGTCTGCTTAGAGGGATGAGTCACTGCAAATCAAATCAAAGTTGTTCTGACTGATCACCTTTACCCTATGATGAAACATTTCTATCCTGCTGGGGGTGGTGTCTGTCAGAATGGCCCTGTCCACAAGGCACGAGAAGTCACCTAACACTGACACAACACTAACTGAGGGAATATCTTTTTGGAAGAATTCAAGAGTTCATCCATCCAGTGCAGTTCATAATAAAAGTTATTGCCATTATTTTAGTCTATTTTTTTTAATTCAGTAGCCAAGGTACATCATTTAGTTTATTACTAGTTTCATCCTCTAGGTCCTTGATGGCCTAGTGGCCAAGGAGCCCACGCGCTTACCGCCATGGCCCGGGTTCAATTCCCGGGTAGGGATCCAACCCAACTACTGGGAGTGTACTCTCAGTGCTGGTCCCAAGCCCAGATAAAATGGGAGGAACGGCATCCGGTGTAAAACCTGTGCCAAATCACAACATGCGGACCAATGATCTGCTGTGGTGATCCCTAACGGGAGCAGCTCGAAGAACAACAACTAGTATTGTACATCTAACTGCAAACATGATAGGTTCAAGCAGTGGAGTTATTTTGTGAGATCTCCAACCTAGCTCATATGTAACACTCACTGAATCCTTTTTTAATGTAAGTACAGAGAAAGTCTGTTTTAAATGAAAAATTGCACCGTGTTAACAAGTCTGACCAAAACAACTGGAATCAGTCATCCAGGAGGAGTTAAGCATTTAAAATCTCATTCAGTTCAAGCATCCAAACCTTGTTCTAAAGACTGTTGATTTTTTTTAATACTCAGTAATAAACTTCTTGATGAAAGATTGAATTAAAATGTAAATTTGGAAACCCTCTGCAAACCCATCCTCTTTGCCTGGCAAACTGAGGTTTCGTGTCCTGTATTTGAATATTGTGGTATGATTGGCTCTTATATTTTATGACACAGTAACACCTGCCTGCTTTGTGTTTAAAATTCAGTTCCCTTTGTTTCTTGAAGGAATGCAACAAAAATATTGTAATTACAGTGTCACTTGTTTTTTTTTTATTATTATTATTAACTTGAAAATCTTTATTAGTAAGAAAATCGGCTAAATAGTTCCTTTATGCACCCCTTCCACTTTTGCCTATTAGACTCTCACTTGTACTCTAGTGCTTCGTGTTGCTCTTGTAGTTTCATTTAATGTTAATTTAATGCTGCATTTGTGCATCTTTTGATCATCTAAGGCAGCACAGCCCTATGAACGAACGTCACAGCCTCTCTGTCTCCCCGTCTCGCAGGTCTCGGCTTGGATGCCAAGTTTGGAAAGACGTCCAAGAAGACAACACATTAAAGCACAAAGAGAATACGTGTGTAAGCGTGTGCAATACTCACGGACAGAAAACTTGAGGAAACATCTGTTTCTGTTGGTGCACTACTCCATCAGTGGCTAATCTGAAAAACAAAATGTACTTATTTTTTATGCTTTTCCACCCATGAATCACTGAAAGAGTGGTCATATATTAACTTAAAAAGCAAAGACTGGATAGTGATAGAAAATTTTAGTTTCATTTTTCTAGTCAAAATACCACACACTTCTACTTTGAACTATACTTCCCAGGGAGTTTAGAGCCAGAGGACAGTGAGCATGATAAGAATGATTTGCACGCTCATGGTATGCATGTGCACCAGCTCAGATTGGCCAGTTATACACAGACAACTCCATGTGTTAGTGTCAGTTTTACTCTGAATCAGATGCCTCTTTTGTGGTTCCTTTGTTTTTAAATGTATAATGTACATTCATGAGTGTGTGTATAATTATACGTGTGTTCTGTCACTCCATCTGAGACTTACATCTTTAATGTTCACCCTGGCCACTGGATCTAAGCCACATCAGATTTACTCTGATGTACAACGTACATTCTTTCATGTAAAACATGACGTTTTTCTTATATTTGTGTTCCTGTCGAGTGTCTTGTTTACTGTATGAGGAAATGATCATTGTCTCTTCCATACGATAACGGAATAATTAGAATTCGAAAATAATTAGTTTTGGTATCTTTTTTGACCACTTGGAACTGTATTGGATATTTAACTAAAAGGGAAACTCAGCCAGACTATCGGGGGTGTGTGATGACCAGCTGTTGTATGTGAACATTGTGTTTGAGTCTGCCAACGAAGCCGTGTTGTCCGTCTGTCCATCGAGGGGAAAAATCCAACCAGATGGCATTAAACTTATTTTGGACATGAATAAATCCACCATCTCTGTCTTTACTCCACGTCCAGGTTTCACCGTAAAATACTTAGCAGACTGTCTTTTCTAGTTTGATGATTTATTTTTCGTAGACTTGTCGGTGTGATTGCAGATGAGTTATCACTTTAAACCAGGTCAAACGGCCCTTGTGGGAGAAAACCTTTCTACCCACCTCTCCTAATCCTGACATTGCTGTTTGCTTCCTGCTTGCTTAACCAGGACTCGCTGCAAAGAAAGGTTAATGCTCAATTCTGAGCAGAAAATGAAATTGCAGGGAAACAAACACGAGTGGGTGTCGGGGAAAGCAATCTGATTAAAAGAGTCAGTGGAGGAGAACAGGCAAAGCAACAAAATCCCTGCTCTGCTCTTTTCTCCTCGCTCCAGTATAAAGGGTACAACCTCAGGTCATAAACAGAATTTTCAAAGTTGTTTTTAGTGACATGTAATGCCTTCAAAAGCGAGTGAGGTAAAAATAATACTAAACAGCACAAGTGATGTACAAAGATTCAATCAACTCCAGAATTACTGGCACAATTAATAAAGATGGTTATCAATATATGATTAATATTAATCTTGAAGTGAAAAATTGAGAAAAATCTAATCTTTCATTGAAATAAATCAATTCTAAGAATTAACTTATTATTAATTATTAATTATTTCCACCCCCAGCATTTAGTGCTTTGTGCAACATTCTGCTGGCAACATAACGCAAAACAGAGTTTTCTCATAATGCTTGATGAGATTGGAGAATTCACACCAAGGAATCTGAGATCACTCCTCAGTACAGAATCTCTCCAAGCGAGAAAGATCCAACCATGACCCAGTTGTAGCTTCTTGGCAAAGACTGCCAGACTGTCATTTAAAATCTGCTGGTATTTCATGGAGTCCAAGATGCCATGTTTTGCTAACAAGGTTTTCAGGGCCTTTGGAGGAAAAACATGACAGATCCGCCACCATACAGTTGGGAAATTGGTTCTTTTCTGTATAGCCAATCTTCATTTTATGACAAACCCACCTTGAGACTTGTTCTCATCTAAACACAGAACCTGGTTCCAGTCAGGTAATGTCTAGCAATCTCTAGCTGTTTATGTTTATGATTAGATGCATGAAAAGGCATACTTCTGAAGTAGTTTGTTGGCATGAAGGTGTAGTCTAACTGTGGATTTAGAGACTTGGTCACCCCAAAATCTACAATCTTCAATCTTCTGCACTCTTCCGCAAATCTCCAATCCTTGGTGAAACAGTACCTGGAGGCAAGATAGAATTGTTTCAGCTCCATTACAGCTCCAGGTGTTTTAATCTTCTTACTTTGTGCCCTGACTGTGGATATGGACATTTTCACACATAGAGCTATTTTTTTTTTTTATTCCATTGCCTTGTTTATGCAGGTCAACACTCCTTTGTCGCATTTCATTTGTGTATTGTCTAATCTTTCTCATATTGATGAATGCCTAAGGGAATATGTCCTCTGTGTAACCTGATATTTATACCCAGTGAAACAGGAAGTCAAACCACTCATTCATAAGACTTTTTGAGTAATTGTGACATATGGTTTTGTTTAAAAATATAAAATAGATCTCATTTTCGGTGAGATTGCAGAGAGTTGGCATCGACCAATACTTCGAGATCTGGTATTGATATCATATTAAAATGAGAGCTCTGTGCACTCAGTACAGGAAAATGAGACAGATGTGGTAGATCAAGCTTAGGCTGAAAAAAGCCTGAGTATTCATTTAATAGTAAACAAATGAAGGGTAAGCTAATTATGTGTAAAAGGCAAGTGAATGCCTGCTTGTTGTGCATATGAAACTTGTTTGTAACAATTAAGACCTGAAGACATTACAGATTCAGATCCAGTTTGAAGCAAGGACTACACCCAAAACTACATGGAAGGTTTGTGGACACCTGGCCATCACACCTGTATGTGGTTCTTCCGCAACTGTTACCACAAAGTTGGAAGTTCTCTCTGACTCTTTTTCCTCCACTACTGTGAGTTCCATCCAGATGTGTTAATGCAAAATTTTGAATCTGTCACAAACACATGGAAACTAATGTTTAAGAAAAAGGACGATGAATATGGCCTGGTGCTACTACACCACATGGCCAAAAGTATGTGGACACCTGACCATCACACCCGTATGTGGTTCTTCCCCAAACTGTTGCCACAAAGTTGATAACATACAATTGTATAGAATGTCTTTGTATGCTGTTGCATTACAGTTTCTCTTCACTGGATCTAAGAGGCCCAAACATGTTCCAGCATGACAATACCCCCTTGTACAAAGCGAGCTCCATGAAGGCATGGTTTGCCAAGGTTAGAGTGGAAGAACTCGAATGTCCTGCACAGAGTCCTGACCTCAACCCCACTGATCACCTTCTAAAATCAAGTGGAAAGCCTTCCCAGAAGAGTGGAGGTTACTGTAACAGTAAAAGTGGAAGAAATCTGAAATGGGATGTAAAAAAAAGTACATATCACTATGATTATTAAGGTGTCTACAAACTTTTGGCCATATAGTGTACTATTTACTCCAGCAGCATGCGGTTTGGACATATCCAGAATGGAAGTGGTTTCTGAAATATGATCAGTTAAGAGGACTACAGTCGTGTAATGTTTCATGTACCATTTTACTGTTCCTGTCCCCTTGTTTGAGTACTCTGGCTCTCAGAACACTGAACATTTGGGCGTAAGATTGTTTAACATTTACACTGACAGGATTAGGTGTCCAAGATATTGCCTTTTGAAAACAACTGAGACAACCACGCCATTCCACGGTTAATATATGAAGATATATATTTAAAAAAAACTTAAACAATAACTTAAAAATAGACTGATAAATTATTAATCATAAAAAATACGGTTGTCAGTGACTAGCGAAAGAGACCTGGCCACAATAGAATTTAAGACAGGCACATTTTAAAGTACCTCTGTATGTACTTGAAGTGACGTCACCTCGTTGCTAGTAGTGCTAGCCTAATCGCTCAGTGTGACTCTCGACAAGGCCGCAGTTAAACCCGTTACCGCTGTGTGAAATTTTCTGGGACAGCTACAATGTTGAGCTCAGTTGGCCGTCAGCTGAAAAGCCACCCGGCTGTAAGTAGAGCTAAACACGATACAATCAGAATATGGACCACTGGTTCGCAG